CTTTTTACCAGTTTATTATTCTGATCAAGTCACACAAAGTCCAGTTTGCACACTGGAGTAAATGATAAAACATGAACTCTGTTATTTTTGAATTGCCTTTCACAGGAACTGACTCATCAAGGGTAAATTCACAACTTCTAGTAAAAATGTTCCTAAAACAAAAGCAACCGCGCTCCAACAATCATGATCCCACTTTAAAGTCCCTTTTTCTTTTCCTCCCCCTCTCTCCTTCACCAGTAAATTCCATTCTGTTCTCCATCTTTGCTTTGATATGTTCGGCTCGCCTTGTACTGGACGGCATTTTTCTTTTGATTCTGTTATCAAGCACAACGACAGCCAGACGCAGACAAAGATACACACACATGCTAGCTAGACCACCTAGTCAAGTGATTACAGTCGACCTCTGAACCCTGTAGTGGTGAAACAACACCATGTTGGGTCACTGAGGCCGCAGGGCAACCATCTCCTCCCGACTTTACTCAAATGCACATACTTTATATCAAAGAGTCAAAGGAGAGACAATCAGTAGGACAATACAAAGAAGCAGGGGACATACTGAAGGTGGTGTGTGTGGAAGACAGCGGAACATGTTGGTGATCTCTGTGTGTATACATGTCTGTTTGTGTATCTAAGGGACAAAGACTCTAATCAGTCATTTAGTTTTATGACTTGGTTGTTATCATATAACATGCGCACACACTCACACGCTTTGTTTGACTGGCAGTGCTGTGGTTATCATCGGTAGGTGAGGATCTAAAGTTGTGAGACAATTATGTTGTAGGGGGGGGTTGGTGACAGTTAAGCTTTTAAAGTACATAAGCTTTTACCTTTAGCAGAAAACAGTGCATGAAGTCAGAGTGAAAGTGGCACAGCCCATGAACCACTGGGGCTGGTTCTAGTTAAGGGTCTGCCATTTGCTGCTGCATGTTTAGGTGACATGTTTGATTTAGCACAGACTAACCAGCCGGAAGGAATGGACTTCCTACTGCAACACACTGCAATGGAAGAATAGAGTGGTGCGGGGTTGACGTATGTTGTGGGACGACACGGAAGTTAGCGTCACAAGATGTGCCTGGACAAAAAGCCAATTTGATTTTTCCAGTGAGTTTTGGAATAATGTTGAAAATAAGATCTGTGGCAAACACATGTTTATGATAATCACAGATTTTGTTTTTTGTTCAGCAGGATAATCTCCAAATATGACTTTTATAATAGGTGATGTGTAAATGCAATCGGCAGAAGCAAATAGCTCAAATAACGTTATAGATAAACTACATCATGGTCGCATGTCACCACCGCTAACCTAAAAGGCAGCTAGTAGCTTGATGACGTTTAGTAGTTTTTTTTATTGCAACTGCCTTTTTTAAAGAAATGTAAAAGCTTCAGACATTCACGATTGGGGTATTTACTGATAGAAAAAACTAGTTAGGTGGTTTGAACCACCTAACTAGTAACCACCTAACTAGGGCATCTAACTAGGGCATCTAACAAAAAACTAATTAAAAATAACTTCTAGAGAAGTGGGCCCAGAAGTGCTAAAGTACTTACCTGATTACATCTATTTCTTGCACTACTACACTATAGGCTTGTCTGTACACACAAAATAGAGACATTTAAGCAATCAGCTTTAAGAGCGAACGTATCAATATAAACAAACAGACATAACCCCCAGACTCACGCAGTCTGAAACAGACAGGGTGCCATCCTATGAAACTTAAATCATAGTAAATCAAGGTCTGAATCTTGAGTCTGCTGATATACAACATACTGCTATACTGCACCGTAACTTTAAATGTAGATGGTCTAATGCATATACATGGAACATGACGGAAAACAACACAGCCTAATTGTCCCAAGCTACAACAATAAAAAGCAGAGTCTAAAAAGAAGATAAGAAGATTAAAGCAGCCGATACAGACAGAAAGAAGCTAAAGAAAGTCTCACCGGCTGCAGTGGAATACTGGTGTTTGCGCGCCAGATACAGAAAGTGACATATTTATATTTAAAAAAGTACAAGATAAAGTTTAGCAGAGCTACTTTGTTGGTGTTTTGTAGTGCGTGCTGGAATGCTTCTCAAAGGGATATAGAGTGGGAGAATTGGATCATGCAGCGCCGGGATCACACTCTTCAATCCCCATTTATTAATTTGACATTTAATCATTTAGTTGATGAAAGCACTTCAGGATGTCAAGGCTCCGTCAGATCTAGCTTAGAAGAAAGGACTTTTTTTGGAAGGCAAGATAATGTCAGTGTGCAGGACAGGGTGGGAAAGCACAGAGGAGACAGGAGCTGAGGGTCAAGGGAGTTTAGGGAGTGAATGTTCAAACTGAGTGACTGGCAAAAACTGTTGAGAAGCATGTACAGTTTCAAAGTGACGCAACAACTGTCATTTTTTGTAATCTTTCGATTTAATGAAATAGTTTCACACTACGTAAGTGCAAATGATACACACTGTATAACCTATACACTGTCTTTGTGTACTTTTTAGACATTTGCACACTTTAATCAACCTAAAAGTTGTATCCTTCTGAAGTACTGTAAAGCATAAAATCATTGCTAAATTAGCCCATTATTCAAAATGCCTACTGCATACCTGCATGGTTAATTCATTTGAGAACAGAGGTGTGACTCATCACTGCATGTTTTATTAAATTAATAGAAAAATGTAAAGCAGATGTGTGGTATTTGGCAGATGATGTAGTCCATGTCATGCACTGTGATACCTGATTGTGTGCATCCATTACTAGCTAGGTTCAGTGCATTTCTGAAAAGACAAAGTACAGAATCATTGCAAACTGACTGCATTCAGGGCCATATAAAGCTTGGGCTGCCTAGTTGCTAAAAGGAGAGCAGGGTGTATTAAGGCACTAACAGACTGGAGAATGGTTGAGAGCACGCTATCTGAGGCGAATCCTTCGGCCTGCTGAGGGATCTATAGCAGAGCCTTGACTGAAGACAGACCCACAGCAATAAAGCAGTGTTACACAACAGACCACATGTACAGGCCTGGGTGACAGGTGAGAGACTGAGGCAGTGATGAAACCACGGGCATGAAGAAAAGCACAGGGAGAGATGTGGAACATGGGAGGCAAAGAGACAGAAAGAGGAGAAAGCAGGTGACAGAAAGTCGGAAGAGTTTACAGATCGAGAGGGGCAAGGGAATTGAAGACAAATGATTCCGTTTATAATGAATATGTTTTCCAGAAAAGATGCTACAGGGAATGAAAAATGACACTAAAGCCAAGAGAAAGACACATGGTGATACATAGCTACTCAATTGCGTAGTTGTCTTTTTACAAATGGACACAGTTGTGTGACAAATCCGACAATCACGGCAAAAACTGATCAGGTCCTTTATTTCTCCTTAACTTGCTTCAACAACTTTCCCTAGTCTCTCTGTCTCCTAAACAAAGCAGTCGTATGTGATTCTGACAACGTTTTCTTAAGAGTTTGGAAACTGTGGCTTTCTGTTTCAGCAGGAAGAAAAAATGCCATTCTCCTTTTCACTCCCTCAACAAAAGCTGCATGTCAGTATCTCACTCTGTCACTGTTCGCCAGTCTGGAAATAGAGTGATGGCACCATTTAGAGCCAAGTGTGAATACACTGTGACACAGGGCCTGACAACAGCACAGACAGTCTCTGTTTGCGAAAGACTAAGATTAGACGGAATCCCCTGTATTTACGCTGCCATCCACAAAGTATTGAGACAGCGGATGTCGAGAAAGTCACATTTATTTCAGTATAGTTGACCCTCTTCCTGGTGTCCTTGCACCACTATTCCCATCGTACAAGTGGTGCCACAATACAATTAACACCTGTTTAATCCACTGATATCCAGTACCACATCTGCTCCAGTCAGTTAAATCGGTCAGCTCTCCTATTATCAACTACAATCTCCAAATCAAAAACATTCTGGCCTCCCACAAACTCATTGTTAGGAAGAAAAACAGCCAATGGAGGTTGACAATTTGAACTGCAGGACTAAACTGATTTTTGTATGGTTGAAAACTCTAATTCATCAACAACAACAAAAGGCCTTTTCTGTGTACCAATCTTGATCTGGTTTGACTTCATTTGAATAACCAAATATCACAGCCTGAAGTGAGAGAATGCCTGCTGCATATGCTTAATACTTATCCTGGCTTCTTTGTTTTTTTTTAAGTATTCATTCAAAGTATTACTATGCAAGTTGTTTACAATGTTGGTAGCAAATGTTTCAAATCAATCTAGTGCATTTGCATACAAAAAGATATAATCTCAATGACACAGGAGTCTGTCAGTCAAATATAAAGCTCCCAAATAATCTGTGTTTGAGTGCTGCTCCAAAATTGGTTCAAACCACTGATAACGGAAGGCAGTAAAGGTCAGTGAAGAGAGGGTTATTCATGTCCTTCGACAAAGATGAGTTTCTGAAAACAATTGTTGTTTGGTATTTACCGCTGCTGATGAAAGATATCTAATTACCTACATCAAACACATCTCTCTTCCTGGAGCGCTAATCTCTAAATCTTGTATCCCGATCTCCTGCTTCTGTTGGAACATCGTTTCAACAGGACTAACTGGTCAGAAAACATATGCTAGTGTGTTGAGGCAACAAGTGACCCCACTCAACCCTGATGACCAAGTCGACATGTTCAGACAATGCAAGTTTTCAACCTTTACTCTGTGAGACTTGCATTTATATTCAATGTCCTTTTTTCCGATTACAATTATGTGTTTTGCTTTTTAGATCAGTGTAACATATAGGGTATCTAGAAAATCACTATATAAAATAAATGTATCATTATTGTTATAAGCATTTTGTTACAAGCTCAATGGAGTTTTTTCAAAAAGTAATTCGTGAAAGTATAAACTAATACCCATTAACCAGTCAAACCTGTTTTTTAGACCAGTTATTTTTGGGTGACTGCCTTGAAGTTCTATAACTAAATGATTAACATCTAGTGTGCACAGACTTTCAGTTTCACTCATGAGATGTAAGATGTGACCAGCCACTTACCCTTCAGTTTCTCCACCACACTCTCCCCGGCTCTCTCCGCCACCCGTCCATCCTCCCTCTGGTAATGGTCACCCAGGAATCGAACCGTAGCTTCTGACAGGTGGACCTTGCCCGCCACGCCCAGCTGCTCCATCAAGTTGGCCAGGTTGACATCATTGGACCACACATCAAACTTGAAGCGCTTCATGCCCAGGATCCCACACAGCACGGTGCCAGTATGGACGCCGACACGCATGTTGACCGTCTCGCATGTCTCCTGGCAGAACTGCTCGATGGCTTGGATCATGCCCAAGCCCATCTCCACACAGCAGTTGGCATGATCTGGACGGGGCTCAGGGCAGCCAGCGACACAGTAATAGCAATCTCCCAGTGTGCTGATCTTCTCACAACAGGTGAGCTCACAGAGCCGGTCAAAACGTCCAAACAGATCGTTGAGAAGGCCAACCAACGCTGGTGCTGACTTATTGGCGGACATTCTAGTGAAGCCCACAATGTCCGCAAAGAGGATGCTCACAGGCTCCATGCGTTTCATGTTGAACGGCCGGAAGATGATCTGTCCCCGGGGGATGGAGGTCTTCTTGCGTTTGTGATTGTTGTAAGCGTAGTTCTTTGTGCTTGTGGCACTTTGGGCTTGTGAAGCTCCACCGCCTCCTCCACCACCCACTGAGACGGCTGAAGCGGAGCAGGCACCCGAGGAATAACGCTTGCCAGAGTTCTCGCCACCACCCTCATCATCGCCTTGCTTCATCAACTCATCTGCAACCTGCTGCGGCATCACAGAGTGGATCATACGCTCCTTCAAGGCCTTCTCCACCTCTAAGTCTTTGCCATGCATGATAGCCTGGCCCACTTTGAGGAAGGTGCTGCGGGAACGCACCTCCGACATGATGAACAGGTGGATGCCAATGACATGGGCACACAAGTGGAGCAGAGCTTTGGCCGGGCCCAGCCAACGGAGGGTGTCCGAACCTGAACCCTCTAACACTGTCCCCCATCCAGTAGAGTCATAACTCCTTTGAAGCAATGGCAGCCATTCTAATGCCTCAAATAATATAGAGTACAGGAGCCCCAATATCACTGAGGCATACAGACGCACATGGAGGACGCTGTATAACAACAACAAAACCTCCATGCACAGGGAAAAGGTGCCCACGGGGGAGATGCAAGGGGTTGGAAGGGCTCTGTCAGGTGAGGGATGTGAGGAGTTGCCCCTGCCAGCCCCATCCAGCTCAGTGTAGCCGGCGGTCTGTACCTGTGGAGCTAAAGTGATGGCAAAGGTGACTGCGATCAGGAACAAGGAGGTTTGGTTGTACAGCCATGTGTAGGGCTGGGTTAGTGTGAACAAAAATAGGATCACTAGGACAACAAAAAAGGCGGCAGTGGGGGCTAGGAAGGTCATGGGGTGACAGCGGTCACTATTGACCCCAAAGTAGATCCCCCAGAGTACAGCTGCCACCGCCAGGTAGAACAGGACATAACGAAAGCGCCGCTGTGTCTGAGGAAAGCACCTCTCTTGGCAAGCGTCTTCCAAGATGGGGGAGTCAAATTTGGGGTCCCAGCACTGAGCTGCAGAGCGCTCGAACAGAGGAGGGGCCTTCCTCTGCTCTCTGGCAGTGGAAGTCCCAGCTGGTCTGGAGTCTGCTGAGCTACAGCTGGAGGAGATACTGTATTTGTGGGAGTTAGGGTTCATTTTACTCACAGCCCCATGTCCTCCAGCTCCTCCTCCCCCTGCTCCACTGCTGGCAGCCTTCAGGGGTCCATGTTGATGCACGTGTGGCGCGCTATTGGAAATCCGCACGGTCACCGCGCCATCCCCGCTAGAGTCGCAGCTCACTTCCGTGCCATGCCTGGGAAGCTGCCGGTGATGTTGCAGAGTGGCCATATTGACTGCTGTGGCGAGGAAACGATGGGCGCGGGAGAGGTTTTAAATATTAATAATATCTTATGATGGGCCTCAGGCAATTAGACGCGTGAGTGCACATATGGCACGGAGGAGGAAGAGAGTGACAGGCAGACAGGAGGGAGAGAGCAAAGGTGTTTGGTGGAATAATCACAGTGGTGATCACAGCACAGACGTCTTTGCTACGCAAACAGCAGCCTGCACACTCACTCACACAAAACGCGCCGTTCCAGTTTCTTGAGCAGTTCATTATCCAGCCCCGGGTTTGCGTCAGTACTCACATTACACGTATCCTTCTCCAAAGAGGCTCTGGGTTTGAGCCCGGCTTTCTCTCCAGCTGCGGTAAAAACACTGTCATCACTCTTTCTGCCTTCTGAACTGAACATCCTTCTCGAAAAGGACTGGTTGGTGATGCAACGGATTTTGTATGCCTACATCAAGTCGGTCCTGACGTTACATGACTGGAAATGACCTCCTCTCGATGTGCGTAATGTGTCGATGCTGCTGACATTACAAAGTCAGACAGCGTCAGAAGAAATGCCCAGATTGTTTCTTCATTCCAAAATAACGTTGTCTGCGTGGAAACAGAGCTCAGGTCCAGATCTGTATGAGCAGATACAGGCTGTCAACAGCTGTGCACAGCAAAAGTTACACTGTCCCTCTTATCTCCACAAAATGCGCGACGAATGGCACATTTACACTTTATTTCCCTTCTTAAAGCACCTAACAATAGCGGGGTTATGAACAGTCAGTAGCATTCAAATATAAAATGTGAAGGAATTAGTTTTCTCTATACAGCATCAAAACTGTAAAAAAACATATATTCTTTAAAGAAAATAATCAGTTTTCATCTAAAAGACTATTATCGTTTCACATAAAGTGGTGTAGTCTACTCGTTATGCAGTGAAGGTTTAACATACAAAAATAATGCCAGCTTAAAATGTTAGCAATTTAACATTGTGTTAATTATAAAAAAGTGGGTGATGTGTGATTAAGACGGCTTTACCTTCCACTACAACCCTCCCCATGTATGCCTCAGCGTGCTAAGGATTTGCATTCCTTATCCATAGACATTCTCCTTTCAGATGTATTCCAGAGGGCCCATTAAAATAGTCCCGACTGAGTTATTTTGGAGTCCTGTCCAGTCCAAAGTCCGGATCATAAGAGGCCTGACAGGCAGGCCTATTCCCACAGATCCAGCCCCGTCCTTTCCTGAACTAGCTCTCCGGATCCCTATACAGTTTATTCCACTCTGCTTTCCAAAGAGGGGGTCGGGTAGGGGTCGCTATTCAAAGACGCGTAATCGGAAAAGAGAAGCGCAGAAAATACCATCCGCTGTCCCGAATTAGTGTAGGTTTGCCTCTGCTGGGAGTGTCTGCAACTTGTTGCGCGCAGTTGGCAAAATATACAGCTATGAGGAACAGCCTCGGTCGGAACAGGCTGGTCTATAAATAGAGACGATCAAAACTCTTGCAATAACCGCACCGAAGGAGTGTAACATTTGAAAGCTCCTATCCACTTAGTCTGTGGAAGCGCTTAATGTTAAAGAAAAACGTAGTAGGCTACTTGAAATCAATGTCGTAAAACGCATGCAAAACGTCAGCGGTAGGCCCCCTCTGCTTCCAAAAGCTCCCAAACTTTTTTTTCTCCCAGGCCGTATTTCCTGCGTTTGGAGAGGAGACCCAGTTAGGAGTCTCTGGTTATTTGGAGCTGAGGCTGGATTTCCTCCCCTTGCATTTCCCCCCAGAGCAAAGAGAGTAGAACATTCCCAGAGCAATGAAGGAGACCCTCTGGATAGCTCCTCGGTTGGATTGTCAATAAAGACTTCCCTCAAATAGTACTATATCCTAGTCTTAACCAATGCCTTAGGTCTGGATAACAAACACAACACTGTGCGTTCTGGCCGCGGTGCGTCCCCTTCCGTCCGCTGCTGGTTGCCTCCCTTTTCCACTGATATAGCTCTCTGCTGAGTTGGGGGCTAAATAAAAAACTGACCCACTGCGGGAGTTTCGCGGCAGCTTTTCCTTCTTATCCGGGTGAACGTAATATCTCCACTCCTGCTGTAGCTGCCACCATATTCGCTGTGACTGGGTCGGAAATCCTCTCCCAGCTGTTGTGGCGGTGCGGGTTGGTGGGACTAGCCTGTCAAGCAAACAACGGTTTAAAAAAAACTCTGTTTCCGGTGTTGCCTTTCAAGGCGACCAGATAGCCTATTAGTTAGTTAAATATGTCCCATTAGCTTGGACAGAATACAGGAGAAAGTTAATATCATATCAGACTGCTGAAGTTAAGGTTAAATGAATAGGAATATGTTGGTATTTTTGCAATTTCACAACACAACATTCCTTAGTCAACAGAAACATTGAGGTCGTATAATGTTGATTGAGTCATATTTAATCTATAAAAGGTAGCCTATGTCCATCTCTTGTCCCTAGCCATAGAAGGGAAGGCATCCTAAACATTAAAAAAAACACCAGGCTACAGAGTTCAGAAAGCAAAGGGTCGTCGATACGTAGGCCTATCAACAATTCTTCAAACGTAACTAACCCTGACCCTATACGTTTACAAAACTAAAGCTATGTATTAAAAAACTATTAACCATGTAAAATACCAACAAATAACGACCTTTAGTTTGAAGGCGGGAACTCTCCTCCGGTGTCTGCTGTCTCTGTGTGACTTGACGTCTGGCTGAGTGGAGCAATGCTGCGTTCAAGTCACGTGTGAATGAAAGTTTCTACTTTTGAATCCTTCAAATATACATTTTTCTGACAGATTTTTGCGTTGCTACTGTAAATTATGTGTACCCCCACCGCTATGTCAACTCATAAGCAACTACTTGCATTGCTCAGCCTAGGCTGGAAATGCAGCTGTCATTACAAGTTAGAAGTTGTGATCAACATAGTTTGATTTTTAAAGTCGTTCTTTAACCTTTAGCTATCATTACAGACTCTACTAAAAGTCATGTTTTCAAGTGGCCCACTGCTTAACACTTGAGAAAAACATGTATTGAAAAGATTCCAGTCTTTCCTTGTATGCAGCATGACACAGCCCACACACATAAGGGTGTGTTTATTAGCTAAAGTTTGGTATATTATTGACTAACCCATACCAGACTTTTAAGCAGTGTGTGGACCTGTTAGTATAATCTGCTGAAGAACTAGAATTACTCAGATTGCTTTTCTCTGCCTGAATGGGGATAATAAATACATTTTTTCAACAATAAAATCCAGTAGCCTGCAGTTGAGGAGAATGTTTCTGCTTCAGAAACGTTTTGGGTTTTGAATGTGTAGACTGTGCAAGCAATGCACTTACATATCTGTGGGATGTTAATCAGTCTGATATGTAGGAAAAAAACTAATCGAATATATTGATTTGTATTTGCATATCTTATCAACCAATTTGTTATCAATACAAGTGCCCTGTTGTTCTTCTTTGTCTGAGATAAACACAGCCAGAGGGGAATACAACTCATCAACAAAGAAAACAATTATTGACAAAATACTAAACTGGAGTGAAATATCACAGGATTTTTTTTATCATTTGTTTTATTATTGAATTATTTATTTGGCATAGTATTTGTAGCACTTTTAAAGATGCATTTGTATTTGAAGCACATATTTCCTGGGAGATGTTTCTAAGCTTATAGTGGAATTGACATTAGACATTGTCACATGCAAATCCAAGAATGAAAGAAACAGGGTTTTGTTCATTTGTCAAAAGCTAAATTTCCCAATGCCAAGTATAATAAGAGAATTCAGGGGAAAAGTTATTCAAGGAAAATCGTGCAGAGGAAACACGTGTTGTTATTTAGGTCCAAGGCACGTGTGTGTGTGTGTGTGTGTGTGTGTGTGTGTGTGTGTGTGTGTGTGTGTGTGTGTGTGTGTGTGTAGCATTACTATACTTGTGGGGACCTAAATCTGTTTACACAGTCACGTGTGGGGACTCGCCTCCCTTATGGGGACAAATTGGAGGTCCCCATGAGGGGAATCATTAATTTTAGGGTGAAGACTTGGTTAGGTTTAGGTTTAGGATTAGGGTAAGGGTAAGGGTTAGGGTTAGGCATGTGTTGGTTATGGTTAAGGTTAGGATAAGTCTCCAGGAAATGCATGTAAGTCAATGTAATGTCCCCTGAAGTGTGTGTGTGTGTGTGTGTCCTCTTCCATTGAAGAAGCCATAATGTTTAAACTTTGAATCCAATAAAGCAGGTAGACTTAAGACTCTAGTACTCTATGCTTCATGTAAGTGAGTGTGTGTTGTGTGTGTGTGTGTGTGTGTGTGTGTGTGTGTGTTGTGTTTGTGTGTGTGTGTGTGTGTGTGTGTGTGTGTATGTGTGTGTGTGTGTGTGTGTGTGTGTGTGTGTGTGTGTGTGTGTGTGTGTGTGTGTGTGTGTGTGTGTGTGTGTGTGCTTATGCTCGAGAGCTTACAAGAGGCCTGTTTGAAGAGTTAAAGCAGCACTGATAAGTCTGTGTTAACATTGTGCTTTAATCTGGAAACATTGTCTGCTTAGCTAACAGATGTTATTATAAGATTCATACACTTTTATTTGATATGCATGTTTGTTCATGCCCTGCTTCACGTGAGTGTTTGGGTCATTGTGGTGGGTAATGTGGTATTGTGTTGTGTATTGGCCATTGAAATAAACTCAGGTTCAGCTGCAGGACAGAGAACTACCAGTGAAGTGACACGCTGCTAAAGAATATCGTGTCAATTAGGCTTTACTCTGCTCCTAGTACAGGGTGAGGACTTTGACTTGAATTTGGTCTTTTTGAAAAGCCTGGGTGCTTTATTCCCAGCTGTATCGTGGATTTCATGAAACCTTAACATGTTGCAGTTTACTTTATTATACTTAGATTTACTTCAAACAAATGATGATATTTTAATTACAGAAATCATAACACAACCTTTAAATGGTAAATACACACATAAATGTCTGGCAATGGACAGGATGTCACAATATTTGTGAATATTTATTGAATTTGACACCAACAGTTATGATCCAGCCACCAAGAGAAAAATATTGATTTATTGTAGGCCTATCTATTTTCCTGTAATAATGTGTTTTGCCCCCCTTCTGCAGAAGTATGATTGCTAATAGAATAGTTTTGGAAGAAGAAGGAACGTTTTATATTGTTGTATGTGCTGATCAATGTTCTAGTTTGGTACTAAATTAAAAATGTTTTTGCATTAAAGGTAGGGTAGGTAAGAATGGAGAAACCAGCTCGAGTGCGGTAGAATTTGAAAGTACGCAGCCAAAAAAATGTGCCCCTTCCTTCAGAGTTCCTTACAGAGCCCCTCCTCCAACACACAAGAACGCGCACATGACCAATGAGGGCACGAGATAAGTTTGTGTGCTACGGCTTCCACAGATGAAATATTTGTATGTATTTATTGTCAAAGCATTAATGTATTCATTGCTATGTTAAGAGCATTCCATGGAATATAACAAAAAGTGTTTTTGAAGTGAATTACCTACCCCACCTTTAATGTGGCAGGATGAATGAAACAAGTCACACAACTTATTTGTAACGTAAGTGGCTGCAATAAAGTTTTTTAGCCAGGAACAGTCTTTTGCTTTCTATTTCCCCTGCATTAATAACACTAATATAATTCAGTCTGCCTCTACAACTCACTCAGCAGTTTGTGGGTCCAACACATTGAACGTAGGCGCCTCCTTGTGGCTGTTTTCAGTCACTGCAGGACATTATTTATCAGCAGCTAATGAAAAACAGCATTTTATTTTATCGTGGTTGTAGACTGATGTGTGCTCTCCCAGCTTTTACACATTCAATCATGTTTATTGTTATGAACAAATTAGTCTGCAATATTTGATTTCCAAAGGTGTAGTTTCTCAAATCGATTGTAAGTTGTGACGATGAGAGTTGCTGCTTTTGCAATTGGCCCATATTTCCCAAGCCCCCTCTCGTTGCATTTTGCAGTGAACAACCAAATTATATGAATTATGTATCGTATCCATGGAAAATACTTTAATCTGTAATGTCTTTGTAACCTTCAATAAAGAAATCCAAGCACGTAGATTCATTTTTGTTGTTGTTTACTCAAAAGAAGGAATTTTACAAACAGACCTAAAAGAAAAAGAAAATGATTACAATATTCAAAGGAAATGCCCGTGTGGTATGCCGCCGCGTTCAGGTAAAACTAGCAACAATTCAGAGGGCAGAGGCATTAAATGCAAACTCAAATAAAATAAAAGCTACGCTTCAATGACACCATGGTTGTATTCAGTCAATTCAGTCTCATGAATGAGAAATGCTGAAATAAAAGATGTTACTATTAACGTAGAATAGTACAATAAAGAAAACAGTACAGTATGCAGTAATGTGGGGATTAAACATGGGTTTGCTCAATAAACGACTGCGAGAGCAAGCTTCTTTCTATTGTATTCTCCCACCTATGAAAACAAATAAGCTTCCTGAAGCGGTAATAACCTACCCTGGTTTAACTGTAAAAACACAGCAGTTGAAACTCAATCTTCCGCCCTCGCAAACAACACAGCAGACAAAAGAGTTGCAGCATCAACTGTATGACTGGTGAATGACAACCGCTACCAGCATCTGTTTTAGAAGGAGAACACTTGAATAAATAATGTACAAACTTAAAAACAGTGAGAAAAACATTCATTCTCAGATTTCATTAACATGGAAGGTAACAAAGGAAATAGAGGTCTGGGATTTTCCTGGTGTAATGATTGGGAAGTTTGTTTCTCCTGCAGACATTCCTCACATTTTGCAGACAGCAATAGCTTCAGATGGAAAGTTGACTTGAGGCCTCTTTTACTATTTTTATTTCCATCCAAACTCCCACAATATGTCACTTTTTACTTTTAGTTTTGACCTTAATTTGATCTTAATACCAGAAGGTGTCTTACAGGACAATGTGCACTAGATGGTTGATGAAAAGTAGGTGAAAATCACTTGGGGTATAACTTTCGGTATACAATGAATTTGAACTGTCATAATCTATTTGGTACTCCATCCAGGTAAAAACAGGCAGAAAGAAGTATTCTGACCCACATTGATTCTCTTTCTCTCTCCCCACATGGTCTCCCTATACCCAGTTCTGAAAATCACAGCAGTGAGGATCACTTCAGAAAACCCTCTGGTTCCTGCCTCCTCTGTTCCTCCTCCTGCACCCCTCTCCTACATCTCACTGCTTCCTCCAGCGGTTCTTGGGTTTCTCCTCACACCCGGGACCCTCACAGGTGCCGGGGAGGGGGGGTGGAGGTGCGGGTGCAGCCTTCACTGGGGCAGGCTTGTCTGCGGCCTTGCTGACGCTGCTGAGCAGAGCGGGGAGCTCGTGTGAGATGGCCCTCTCCAGCTTCTCCAGCAGACAGCCTCCGCTCCAGCTGCAGTGGGAGGAGAGCTGCTTGAAGCCGGACACCGGGTTCACTCCGAAGAAGTCCTGGTAGGCCTCCTTGTTGGGCAGGTCAAACTTGCTGACGTTGGTTTTGGCCAGAATTGTTTTGAAGATGTAGTACTTGTCGGGGTCGCTGACAATGTCTTGGAAAACCTCGTAGGGGTCACTGAACCATCCCAGCTTGTCGTTGAAGGTCTGCAGGTAGCGGTCCACCAGCAGGGCGTGGATACGCACACGGATGCCGTGCTGACGGATGAAAGCGATCTTGTTCTCCATCTGATTCTCAATCACCTGTAAGGGAGGAGAGAGGAATCAGAAGAGACGGAGAGAGATGATGAATAACAGACAAGATGCTTATTGGAAGTGTTTTGTAAGCCATGATTTGGCTTGCTTTTGATTAGCATTCATACGATTATATAAAGACCAACTATTAGGATGTTGCTTTGGAAAGTCTCTCTGTATGTTTACTTTTAAAATAAAAAATCACACTCAAAGACAGGATAAAGGATTCAAAAATGTTTAAATATCTGAGGCCCATTTATTATAATCCCACGAATCTGAGAAGCGATGATTTTAGCATCAGTAATAATAAATACTAATTCTTGTAGATTAATATACGTGCCGATTGTATATTTAACTATTGTAATCAACCCCTGATTTAATAATAAACATTTGTTTGTATCATTTTTTCATTTATGCAATGGTAGTTGAAGAAATGTTGTATGGTTACATTATAAGTAAGCCAACATATTTGTTATTTTTTTATATAAAATTACTAGAACAAAATATATATATATATATTAAAAAAAGCTAAAATAACCTCTGTTTTCTAACTCAGAGACCTTATTTAAAAGAGTTTAGGTTGAATGAAGCTGGTGTTAAATGAAGCATGTACAAAAAAACATGCTGTGTTTTGTATAATTTTGTAAACAAAACATGTCACGCAGTCAGACCTGGTTGAGGTCCTCCAGCAGAGAGGTCTCCTCCTTCATGAAGAGCTCCCGGCTGGTGTCTGCAGCGTAGTCCTGAGGCCAGAAGGAGCTGACGTACACCCGAGGAGGCTCCGTGACTTTCATCAGCGGCGCCATGCTCCAGAACAGAGCCCCGTACACCCTCATCAGGTTCTGGGTGGAGAGACTGTCGGCCTTGTTGAGGATGAGGCGAATCTGGGACTCGCGGCCCTTCATCTGCTTGAAGAGCATCTCCAGTTCCGCGCCCACGTCCAATTTGGTGGGGTCGAACACCTGGAAGATCAGATCCGCTCTATCGATGAACCACTGGCACACATCATTGTAGGGGTAACCTGAGGAAGAGGAAAGGGGAGAGAGGAGACACAATGCACACATTAATGTTTTGGCTCTTTGAATGGCAGCAAGACTGACCCTATGTTATTTGCTTTGCATTGTGAATTATTTTATAATATAACAGGCAACAACTTCTCAATGGGTTTCTGAATTTGTGGTTGAGAAAATAGCACATGAAGTGCACGCAAAGATCCCTGAGTATGGATGGAATACTGACAGGCCCGGGGGGCCAAAGTTTAAGGGCCCCTGTGCCCTAAACGTACAAAATGACACTAAAAGAGACACGTACCAACTAGAAAGAGACCCAAAATTACCTCAAAGGAACATAAAACAAATATAAAGGGATACAAAAAGACTACAAAGAGACAAAAACAACAAGAAACCACCAGGAGACTCACAACAACTATAAAGTGTTTACATGTGATTGCAGGCTGTGTGTGGGTTGTATTGATTCTGTGTGTCATGTAATCACTGTTGAATGTTTGATGTTGCAGATATTGGCACTCAGACTACAGGTCCTTTGGTTATCTGCAACTTTGGTGTACAAAACATTTCCATTAATGGTCACCTCTCTCCTGCTGCTTGCGGTTTTCAATGACGCCGGGCGTGTCGACGAAGGTGACCCTCTCCAGCAGCTTGTGGGGCATCTCGATGCCGACCAGCCGCTCCAGGAAGCCTTGGCCGAATTTCTCCAGAGGTGAGAAGGACCGAGAGCTGTCTGCTGCCATGACGATGCCCTCTACGGAGCGGAACTTCTCCCCGTGCATTATGACCGTGTACTCTGAGGTGGTGGGCTCAGCGCCTGGTGGAGGAAGAAGGGGGGGGGAGGATTTGATAGAATTTGTACTGAAAAGTTCGTTTTTTCTTAGTGGTTTGATGGTTACATTTGTAGGTATCTAGTCATTTTTCCACAAAAAATAGCATGTGTTGCCGTTTACATGCGCTAATAAATAATTGATGGACTGAATTACACCTCAGCACTAACTACAGATATATAGCTTATATTTCATTACTATAAATACATTCATTGAGCTTATTATTAGCTGTTGGAGGAACAGATGGATAGTGATATATATAAACAACAATTTTGTATTACCTCTAGTTTAAAAAGGATGTTGTTTCCTGCATATTTCACCCCTTCATAAGCAGTTCAATATACCTCAAAGTGACATTGTGTAACACATTCTTTCTCATACAAACAAATCTTCAATTTAACCCTTGTGTTGTGTTCGAAAGCTGTTACCATTCATGGTGTTCGCCGGTCAATTTTGACCCATAATTTATTTCAGTCCAAAACACAACAAATAAAAGACAATCATCCAATATTGTTACTACATCATAACTAACTTATTATGCATTCATAACCGTACAATCCTGTACAATATTCTATGGCCCCAAAACACATTACACCACATATTGCACACGTGCATGTGTGTGTTCAAGTTCAAGTGTTAGTGTACATATTCTTTGTGAAAGGTTGAGTTCCCCGTGGAGGGAGGGGGGCCAGAGGGATGGGAGACCAGGTGCATGTTGCGAAGAATTATTGTTACAGTGAATGAAGGGGGTGGGGTGTCTAAAGTCAAAGATGAATCTTGATTGTGCCAAATTTGACCCCGAGTGACCCACAACAATTCTGCTGGGTCTTCCCAGACCCGAACACCAAATGATACACACTCAGACTTGGCTAAAATTGTCAAAATCAGTTTTGTAGTGTTTATATAGCTGTTGTGGAGGATATCATGAAGCCTTGTTCCGATAAAAAAAAATAGAGCGTAGTTATTATATAATTTTAACTTGAAACGGGTCATGGGAGACCCGAACACAACATAAGGATTAAGTGATTTTCAACAACACTCTGGTTTTCAATTGGTATAAAAGGAATATGACTGTATCAAATGCATCAGGTGGGATCAGTGCGAACCTGTGTAAAGCTCCTGTGGAGTACCATGGAGACCCAGAAGGTAGTTGATCATGGAGGACTTGCCGACACTCCACGGTCCCAGGAACAAAACCATGGGCTTGGAGGTGATCTCACTGTCTGCAGAGTGACAAAGACAAGAGTTTAGAGAAAAGGGGTAAACATAACAACATTTACTTAATAAAAAATGTGCAGCAACATCTAGCTTTTCGTAAAAATTACAATTATTATTATTATTTCCCATCTTATGTTATGCATCTTACTGTATGTATTCTGTTTGATCCCTATTTCCCCCTAAATCTTATTTTAACAAATGTACTTTATTTCTCATCTTATTTGATATTATTGTGGATTTCTAATATTTTCTTTATATTCAATTATTATTATAATATTAATATTCCCTGACATTGCATGTCTTTCCATTCTGCACCACAAGGGGTCCCGGAGTCACATGTCACAGTTTGAAGACTTCATCCTGCTCCTTGGTATAAATAATGTTCCTGCCCTCAAGTGCAATGGAACAAACTTGTAGGAAGTCTGGCCCACACAGCGTTCTCTTTCATTTTCAGCAGACAGAGTCCTTATTGTGCTTCTCCGCGCGCCTGGTTTGAATAAAGTCTGGCTCTAGTTCTTCTTAATCATTACTTTATTTGTGCATCACTGTGCAACTCCAGTTTATCAAACCATGGTGCGGTGAACTGATAACGAAACTGCGAGGAGTGCTTAGTAGATTTTCTGTTGGATAGTAATGTTGGCTACGTTTTTCTCTTACATTACACTGTTGGTAAATGAAGTGATCAAGTGTCAGACGACCATTTTACCACTTATTGGTGGCTGCGGCTCAGATGATAAGTGGGCAACCCATCTACCAATCACAGGGTCAGGGGTTGAATCACCAGACCCTGCAGCCAACATGTCTTTGTGCGAGATACTTAACCCACGTTGGTCCTGGTTGACATTTCATGTATTGTAAAAACTAAAATCTCACGAGTGAATTCAAAATGATGATCACGACGTTCCTGATTAAAGGGTTGCGATCTTGATTTCCATGCTTGGGTTTGTTGCAAAGCATTTTACGCTTGACATTATGTCCTCTTACTGCTCTGTCCCTGAGTGCAAGTCATACAGGAAGGACTGGAGTGCTGTTAAAATACCTTCTGAAGTGTCAACTTAGACGTACATGAGTCCATGAGCTAGTTTTTAGCTATGTTACACTGATACCTAGCCAACTGTTAGCTCTTTAACCACCGAAAATGTGGATTTCATGGAGGATACTTAACTGGGTCCCCAAAACCAGTTTCAATCTCGTTAATTGTGTTGTTTAAATTATGAGACATAAACTTAGCAGTAACAGGGTGTAACTGTATGCTATGGCTAAAACGTTAGCTAGCTAGCCATGGCTATTGTGTTTGACTTTAATTATACCACTATGATAGCTAGCAGTTTTTTGATGACTGTTGTAACATGTTTGCAAAATGTTATCTTCTTCACATTTTGTGATGTTTTACTATTCTGACAAACTACTGTAAATGCTTCTGTACAGGCTGTGATGCAGGTGTAGGCTGGTTTACCTGTGACTTCATGCTGCCTGAGCTCGTTGTACTTGAAGGCTTGCTCCATTGGCTTGATGGCATTGTGGTAGATGCTCAATAGTTTCTTCATATCAGCTAAGAGAGAGAGAGAGAGAGAGAGAGAAGACGATGAGAGCAGCAGGACGAACGCCGAGGACCACTGAGAACGAGATGAGAGGAGAGGACGAGAGAGACGAGGAGAGAAGGAGAGGAGAGAGAGAGGGAGAGAGAGGAGAGAGAGAGTGCAGGAGAGAGAGAGAGAGATGAGAGAGAGAGAGATGGAGAGAGAGAGAGAGAGGAGAGAGAGAGAGAGAGAGATGAGAGGAGAGATGAGAGAGATGGAGAGAGAGTAGAAGACGAGAGAGAGAGAGAGAGAGAGAGAGATGTAATAGTTGGGATGTAATGGTGAGAAGACATTTCGGACAAGAGTATTATTAATGCCTTTGCTACCATTACTGATTACAACAGTTCCTTTGGCATTGTATGATGAATTGCCCTCATAAAGTTTATTGAATGGAGCTGAGGTGATTAGAAAGACTGCTCTGCTGCGCCACATTGGCCTCTCTGAAATGAATCTTGAGTTACACATTTGCACTGATTAATCACCTGCTTCCAGACGTGTCTGTACACTCATAGCATAAACACATCCGTATAGTGCACACACTCACACAGCCCCTGGACCTAGACATCATGAAGCAATTTTCAGAATAGTTTCGGTAGAAAATCCCCCCAAATTATCTCGAACTTCCTTTCATTCACATGCAGACACATCTGGGTTGTTTTTCATTGAGAAAAAAGCTGTAAACATTCTTTATTTCAATACAGAGCTTCAGGCTTTTCTACAGCAACCTCCGAAAGACATTTTAAACATTGGGAAACACAGCAGTTATAACATTTTGATTAGTAGAGTGTAGGTTTCTCTGTGTGCATGCATGTGTATGTAGTACCTGGGTACATTTGTGTGTGCAAGTAAGAGTGGGCAGAGAAATTGCAAATCTCATATTGTCTCACATTTATAACTTTAGGATGTCTTTGTTCCTCACCTGAGAACTCATCTGAGGGATCCTCAGTAGCCAATCGCAGTGTGTCCTCGATGTGGGAGCGGTCCCTCAGTTTACGGGCTGATGCCTCGCGCCCTGATTGGAGGAACAGGTTGTCAGTTAAGGTCGAAAGCCCCTGGCTACCGACATGGTTACAAACAAAATTCTCGCCCTGGGTAAACAGTTTCCTGAGTTGTGAGGGACAGTGCAGGCCAACTGTTATGTCATTCATGCTGGTGGTCATCCAGCTGTCTATTCCTTTCCTCTGCTATTTAGGTTTGTGTATTTCTGTACCAGAGGTTGTTGCTAATTCCTCTGCAGCTACACATAGTGTCATTGTCAGGGTTATGCATGTCTGAGAGAATAATATAGAGACCTTTGCTGTCATTTAATGTTAATTAAATGTAATAATATAATGTTTTCGAAGATTGTTTTTCTATGTTCTACTCAGCTGTTCTCTTTTCCTGTAGCTATTATCCAAATTGTTTAAGAGAAAATAGTTTTAGTGTTGCAATGTGTCTTAATCACCTGCTAAGGATTAAGATTGTATATTGATGCTTCTTTTTTCTTTTTTGTTACATTGGTTCTATCTCTGTAAATTATTTGTATTGAAATGTATGTCCTCCTTTCAAAATACAGGCCATGACAGAATATTTTCCCAAAAATTGTGTTTGGACATCTCAAACTTAAACTTGAAACATCAATACAATTGTTACTCTACTTGAAATACATTACTTTGCACAGCCAATAATTCTTTAAAACTTAACAGATAAAACCCCTTTTCATTAAACAACCTTCAATGACTCTCACACAAGTGCAATGATTGAGATGGTGAAGGGGTTCAAATTAAGAGATGGGAAACTCTTTTAAGACTCAGCCATCATCTTTCATAGCAGGTGTCATCAACACCCAGGCATCAGACAATGGCGTGCTCCCTTAATTACAGAAGTGCCGACTGGATGGGGACAGATTTACTGCAACAGGATCCCTGCTGCTCGACTTGTCACTGCTCGGACCCTCTGACGGAATGAAGGCAAGACGTTGGTGTAGATTTGTGTCAAAGATTTAAGTGGATGATAAGGCCAAAAATATTATTGCAACATGTATTTATATTCATCGTTGTCATATATTTAATGATAATAATGGTTGATTTAGTATTGAGTATTCTCTCCTTTGGGCAGAGCCCTAAAAGAAAGGTTAATTGTGGTTTATAAAATAACATTATTTATCAGTAGAACGGGTCAGGTCATTGAGCAACAGATATTATTTACCCTTATTAATACTTAGTTAGCCCTAATTCGACTAACTTCCTGTTTAGCTAAATTTTAAATCAGCAAGGACAAAATTAAATGGTATTACTTTATCAGAATTCCCCAATGTTATTTGAATTTATATATTTCTGATTGCCGTTGTGATTCTCAAAACAATTTAGCCACTGTTTGTTGCAACAGGGAAGCCTATGGCCTATTCGTTTTTTTGTTAGCCTAGTAAATAGGGTTCAAAATAACTTTTATCAAAGATAATCATAAATAAATCATCATACAGTTCAGAGAACTTGTATAACCCAGTCCCTTTAGTTGCAAATCTGTTACAGTTTTTCTTTTGAGATTACAGGAGAGATCCTAAACTGTAACATTAAAGAGAGACTAATGACATACTACAAAACGAGATGGTGTTATCTTTGTGTACCTTTGGTTTTCAGCTGTGCAGGCTTCTCTGCGGTCACCTCCTCCGCCGTCACCTCCTCGACCGTCACTTCCTCCACTGTCACCTCCTCCACCGTCACCTCCTCGGCAACAGCAGGTACTTCCTCAACAGCATCCACTGATGCCTCCTCCACCGCCTCCTCAACAGATTCTGGTGTGACATCCTCCACAATAGGCTCTGGCTCCACTTCAGGAAGAGCCTCTGGTTCTGGTTCAGGCTCTGCAATCACTTCTGGTTCTGGTTCAGGCTCTGCAACCGCCTCTGGTTCTGGTTCAGGCTCTGCAATCACTTCTGGTGCAGGCTCTGCAACAACCTCTGGTTCTGGTTCAGGCTCTGAAATGACTTCTGGTTCTGGCTCTACAACCACCTCTGGTTCCGGTTCAGGCTCTGCAATCACTTCTGGTTCTGGTTCAGGCTCTGCAACCGCCTCAGGTTCCGGTTCAGGCTCTGCAATCACTTCTGGTTCTGGTTCAGGCTCTGCAATCACTTCTGGTTCTGGTGCAGGCTCTGCAACCGCCTCAGGTTCCGGTTCAGGCTCTGCAATCACTTCTGGTTCTGGTTCAGGCTCTGCAACTGCCTCAGGTTCTGGTTCAGGCTCTGCAATCACTTCTGGTTCTGGTTCAGGCTCTGCAACCTCCTCTGGTTCTGGTTCAGGCTCTGCAGTCACCTCTGGTTCTGGTTCAGGCTCTGCAATCACTTCTGCCTCGGTTTCTTCAAGGTCTGAGTCTGTTTGAGGAAGCTCAGCTGGTTCTGGTTCTGGTTCAGCCTCTGCAACCCCCTCCTCAGTTGCATCCTCAGGAGATTCCACACTCTCCTCCTCAGCGGCTGCTTCTGTCTCATCCTGTGTGTCTTCTGGTTCCTCAACTGTTTCTTCAGCAGCAACTTCCTCCTGAGGTTCACCTTCTTCCTCTCCTTCCTCAATGTTCTCCTCCTCTTCCTCAACTTCAGATGATGCAACCTCAACAGCTACCTCTTCCTCTTCCTCCTCCTCAACCGCAGCCTCAGATGCTACTTCCTCTTCCTGTCCATCACTTGTTACCTCCTCTCTGGAAGCATCCTCCTCCACAGGAGCTGCCTCCCCCTCCTCTTCTTCATGCTCTGAGGCTACTGCTGGCTCTTCCTCAGTATCTACAGCTGATGGAGGTGTGCAGGGCTGGCACAGGGCCCTCTCAGGGGCCGGGGTGTCATTGGAGGAGCTTTGGCTGCTGTGCTCCTCTGTTGTGTCACATCCACAGGAGAAGAGGTCTCCCTCCGGCTGCTGGAGCTGCAGATGCACCAGAGGCTCCTCATTGTGGACGGAGGACCCTACCAGGAGACCCAAGAGGAGAAAACATTTTAATGTGCGCTTCAATCAGCACCAAGACAAATAAGATCTCGGATTTCAAATGTAAAGTTTATCTCTGATGTTATGAGCTTTTTTTATCGTTGGAAATAATCTGACCATCAGGATGCACCGTGCAAACCAGCTGAGTCTCTGAAGGTCGATCACCTTTGTGTGTTACGTCACTGCTTGACCAGTGTGCTCAGTCACTGCAAGAACAGAGCAGATCAGATATCCAGCACCTCCTAGATTTAAGACTCACATTTCAGCTCCTTGAATGGTGACTCTAAAGCGGGGACTATTTGAAGCAGACGTACGATGGACAGTTGCGGCAGACAGTTGTTTGGCGGATCTAAAAGAAGAGTGCTGTGTGGGCAGGGTGGCTTGGAACATAATAATGTATTCATTTCCATTTTATACATATATGACGTATTAATTTTTTATATTTAATATCGTTTTCCGGGGCCATTTCTGTGTCACAATGCTGCTTTTGACTGACTCCCAAAACACTGGTGACTGTAAGGTCCCCTCTATACATTCTTAATGTGAAATATATGTTGATATTGCAAACATAATCTCATTAAAAGGGAGGAAGGAAAAGTATATGAATGTCTGTTTTATTGGATGTTTCAAGCTTGACCTGTATGAAGGCCAAAACCGATCTAGGCTAAAATATAAACTTGTTGAAAATATTCATATAAAATGTTGTAATGGTTTATTAACAAAACATAACTATATTCAGAGTTTCTCCACAAAAATTGAATTTTATTTTCATTTCAACCATAAAAAAACTGCAACGCTATTGGCAATATTTGAATACATATACATTAAGGGTGCGTTCACACCTACCTTGTATAGTCCGGTTGAATCGAACCCTGGTGCGTTTAGCCGCTTGGTGCGGTTCATTTGGGTCGGTGTGAACGCAGTCCGAGACCTCTTAAGTGAACTAAACAACCGGACTCTGGTCAGCTAAAATAGGTGGTCTCGGAGCGCTTGCTTGCGAACTCTGGAGCGGTTCATTGCTGGTGTGAACGCAGTCCGCACCAAAACATAGGAAGCGCAGTATTTACGTGTCACAAGAACGCGGATATCTTCAAAAATCTTTAGCGAAAGAGTCTTTCAAGACCTCCGCGGTTGTTTAGTTAAAGAGTGAAGCAGAATTAAGTGTTGAACAGTGTCGTGTAAAGTAACAATTCTCCGTCAGCTACATAAAAGTAAGAACACCTGTCGTCGGTGAAACGCCCCTCCTCTGCAGAACGTCTCATGTAACACTTATTACATTGCCACATTCTCAACAAAGTAACGACATGACTCCCAATATTAATTGAAATGCTTTTGTGGATTTAGAAAATGATTTTATTGATTTAAAAAATAGTTGTATGTATTGATTTAAATTGACATGCATCCGCTAAGAAAAATAGTCCGTTGTTACTGTTTGAACTAACTTAGCAACGGCAGGAACTGATTCGATAGCGTTTTTGAGGAGCTTTTTGATTACAGATTTGAAAACATCGTTGCTTCCTTTAAAAGTAGCACAATTCATTATGTCAAACCTTGGAAAGTATCTAGATATCCCTGCCCTAATACCAAAGTAACTGCACACTGAATATGTGTCGCCGTCTGATGTCTATGTCTGGACCGCTGCGCAGGGGCGGCGCCAGGGGGGAGCTAGGGGGGGCTGAAGCACCCCCCAGGATTGCCAAAGCACCCCCTAAGCACCCCCAAGAAATATGTGGTTTTTTTTGTTTTTTTTAATTATTATTATTATTTTTATTAAATTAAATTAGAAATATTATTGATTACATCAATGCATATGTGAAACAAACACATTTTTGACCAAAAACATAAAGCCAACACAGGTGATATGATTAGGCCAATGGCCAGCACCCATTCGATTTTTGACCTACCCATAGACTAAATTACTTTGTGACACTTGGGTGACTTCCTGTTAGCTAGAGCGCAAATGATTTGCTAACAGCAAAGTGAAAAATTGATCGTTTTTAATCCTTAAACGTCCACGTGTGGACACTCAATCAAAACCAACTGAAAGCGAGAGGGATTCTGCACATAATAGGCCTCGTGAGTACAAGTAGCTTACTTCTGGGTCTCTGTGTTTCATTCAAGCCCTGCTCTCTGTGTGTGTGTGTGTGTGTGTGTGTGTGTGTGTGTGTGTGTGTGTGTGTGTGTGTGTGGCACGAGCCATTTTGTGTGCGTGCGTGCGTGCGCGAGCGAGCGAGAGAGCTCGCCTCGCGCACCAGTGGGTATCTACCGGAGATCGTTGTGGTTGTCACTACTCGATCTGCAGCTCTGCCCGATCTGCAGTGCGCATGTGCGAGATGGTCCGCCATATTGGACAACTCCGGACGGCAACCCAAATAGGACAACATTGACACAGTGGCTTTTGGCAAAGCTAAAAAGGAAAACTCGAGAGGGATGAGTTATTGTTATTACAACGTGACTTCACTATTATTTAACAACTCTTTTTATTGGGTTCGTTTATTTGGGGTTAAGTACATTGTCAGAATAAGTGAGAAATTGATTTAACTTCTGTTAGACAGCTATCATACTGAATACATATTTACTGTGAATGTGTGCAAAAACGTATGGCATATAGCTGTCTAACAGAAGTTAAATTCATTTCTCACTTATTCTGACAATGTACTTAACCCCAAATAAAAGAACCCCATAAAAAGAGTTGTTAAATAATAGTGAAGTCACGTTGTAATAACAATAACTCATCTCTCTCTCGTTTTATTTTTGAGCTTTGCTAAAAGCCACTGTGTCAAGTGTCCATCTTGGGTTGCCGTCCGGAGTTGTCCAATATGGTGGACCATCTCGCACATGCGCACTGCAGATCGGGCAGAGCTGCAGATCGGGTAGTGACAGTGGTTAGCATCTGGTGCTAGCTAGCCAAGCTAACGGATATAAGGAGCTTTTTCAACAACGAGGTGGAGGGAGAACTCTCTCCTGTCAGACGGAGAGTCTCAGGTAACCTCAGCTCAGGTGAAGTAAAGGACTCTCTCAGTGTTTAGATGGTTAACTTTAGTCTAGTTATCTCAGTGGGTCTCAAACGGTTTGTTTTAAAAGGGGAGTGATTTGTAAAATATCTATAAAGAAAAAGTAAATCTGTTGACAGTTCTGTTTCGTATGGGTATTGAGAGATGTATCCATAGATCTCTTAATGTTGCTCTCAAAGTGCACCAGATTGATGCTTTTAACTTCAATATTTAAAAACAAATCTTCCCGGGGGAGCATGCCCCCGGACCCCCCTAGAGGAGGTGAGGACCCTAGCACTTTACCCCTGCCTATATGCCGTGAGCTGATTATCGAGCCTTCATTGTAACAGTCGCGGGTGCACTGTGTGTGTGTGTGTGTGTGTGTGTGTGTGTGTGTGTGTGTGTGTGTGTGTGTGTGTGTGTGTGTGTGTGTGTGTGTGTGTGTGTGTGTGTGTGTGTGTGTGTGTGTGTGTGTGTGTGTGTGTGTGTGTGTGTGTGTGTGTGTGTGTGTGTGTGTGGGGAGTGTTGCAGTAGACAATTCAACTGTAGTGCTGGTGCATTAATGGGAAACCCTAAATGTTTGAGCACCCTCTATGAAACGTCAAGCTACCCCACAGCACCCCCTAGAGGAAATCTATGGCGCCGCCACTGCCGCTGCGTAAAAAGGAGGGTTTCTGCCCGTTACTTCTCCGCTGTTTTCTTGTCGCTCTTGTCTTGTCAGTTAGTTTCAGCCAAACTGTATACAGTTAAATCGAACGGACTTCTTTGTGCAGATGTGAGCGTCCTTAACAACGGTCAATAAATCCTTGACATCGGTCTGTCTGTTCTGGATTAAAAACGTGTCACGTGTTTTGAATTGACCAATCAGAATCGAGTATTCAACAAAGCCATGTAATAATGTTTTTTAACTGACGTTGTCTGATTATATAATCATATGCGCGGGCCGCTAGTGTGTATTGATCTCCAGACTAACAGCAGCATGAGAATAACCTGCCGAAAGTGCCGATGCTCCATGGCGGAGTCTCCGCTAGAAATTGCCGGGATTTGAGTTTTTACCCCCTTAATGTCTGACCAATGGTTGAACAGCATTTCCGAGCACATGACTTGTGTTTAAAGTTTATAGTCCGTTTGAGTTTTGCCCGTGTGAACGCAAACCGAACCTTCTGAAAAATGAAACAATGTAACAAACTGTGGTCTGGTGCGCACCAGAGAGCGGACTATTAGGTGTGAACACACCCTAAGTATGTCATTCAATATAGACAAAGTTCCCTCAATATCAAAGTCAAATATAGGTTTGTGCTTTTTCTCATCAAGCTGCTCGCACACACAGGTCACATCCTGGCGAACAGGCATCCCCATCCTTTAGAATCATACAGTAAATTATAGTTGCCATGGCTTCAAAACAATCACAGCTAAAACAGGGGACTCCCTCTCTATTACACCACATTCTTACATGTAGGCTACATTAGATGCAACTACAGTGACCTCTGTTTAATTATAACTTGAGACTGAGGGACGCGTAGTGGTACACCGTGTGATATGAGGCCGCTAAATGTATGTTCAGTTCATGTTACAAGATGGGGTCAGCAGCATGCAAGATAAAGACTAATGGCTGTAGGCAGCTGTCCAGGGTTATACACGTTTGTAAGGTTTCAGGATCAACTCCTTTCGCAAGCTAACAGGCTAATGCTAAGGAAGTTGCTGACAATAGCACTTAATTTGCACACTAGGAGTTAGAGCATAACAATAATATTTTATTTAAAGTCGAGTTCCAGGTTACCTGCTGAATGTAATTTAAATATGCACTGACTTTTAGCTGTGAAAGTCCTTTTAGTTGCTAAATGCAATGTTATGTTCACAAACTAGCCGCTAACTGAGCTGCGAGCTGTTAGGTGCTGAGCAGGTAGTCAGGGCTGCCAACATTTGAGTTCAGCTTGGAGTGAGATTTTTTTTTGGTGAACCGAAAAAGGAAACGTTCATGTGTACAG